GTTTTTATCAAGTATTTCGTAAAATTTATTAAATTAGTAAATTCGTTGCTCTCGAGTGAGTTGTGCGAAGGCAGCACTCGCAAGAGGAAGCCAATGAATTCCTTAACAGCCACACACACACACACACCTAACTAATGCGAACTACAGCAAATGGTGCATAAATTGATAACGGTATGGGAAAAAGTTTACCATTCTATGGTTGTGTATACATAAGCGTTCATACGTTCATACATATATACATAAGTATGTACATACGTGCATATGTATGTATGTATGTGCGCTTTTCTGGCGCTAATGAATTGTGCAAATTGGCTACAATTGTGCCGAGAGATTTAAAGACTAAATGCAAAAACAATTTCTTTAAGCGCGACGAGTAGTTAGTTTAAAATAAAATGAGAATTAAATTAACGCGCGTTTGTGTGAGTGTGAGTACACTGTGATCGCAGTCACTCGGTCGAGCATTTTACGCTAAGATTACACGGTACTTACGCGCGCCGCGATGAAATTTTCATTATGTTCGTTAGCGTCAATGTACGCAAGGCGACTTCAAGGATTTTCATATTTACCTGCAATGAGAAGAAACAAAATTTCAAATATTAGAACGTCTACTTGATTATGCTAAGCAGTTAAATTTAGAAATTTATTAATGAGGATATGTAAATAAAATGAGTTGGGAGTGGAAGTCATTGTTTTTACGTCATAGACGAATTTCGTATCTCGCTTATCGCTTTATTCGATCTTAATTGCCAACTGCTGCACAAATATATCATAGTAAATTAAATAGCAGCCTTTTTTTTCAAATTTCTTGTCACTTCAAGAACTTGGGGAATTCCATAGCATTTGCATGTACTTAAGTACGTACAACGTACATACATACACATGTCATATTTAGACAGTGCTGCTGTTGCCAAGCCCCGCACGAACAAACAGAACCCAGCCGCGTTTCAGAGCCCAGCACAAACACAGACAGCGCCGCGGTGGCAAACACATTTTTTCCACTCTTTCCTCTGCGCCTGCGATCGTCGGAATTTTTTTTTTTTTTTAAGTCAAATATGAATAGTGACGCAAATCTATTCGTTTATTTCGTATACACATTCAAATACATAGCTTATTTTTGTATATGTATGGGTGTACTGTTGGCGGCAGTGGGTGTAAACAGATTATTTCAAAATATTGTAGACTTTTAATAATTCATTGTATGTTTACTTGAAAACGCTGGAAAAATTTACTAGTATATAAAGCGTATATATACATATACATATGTATGTATGTACATTAGCATGCGCCTTATTTTTCAACTTTGATGCATAAAGCATGGCTCTCCTCACTAGGGTTAATGTGGTCATAAAAATGTGCTCGCGAAAAATTGTCTAAATTGGATAACGGAAAGCACGTTTTTTTTTAACAAATGAACCTATCGAGGGGAGTTTTGCTTTGTAGCTTACGATAAGGCGCACACTAATGTAAAAAAAAAAATCTCCTACGATTTTTTTCGTAAATTCACCCCTCCAAAGTTATTAAATTTTAAAGTCAAACATATAAAAAACTATTTTTTTTTTTTCAATTTTCGGTAAACTGCTAAAACTTATCACGTAATATGTCATAAAACTTTTCTTGGAATTTTAAGTTTTAATTTTCTTCGAACTCAACTTTAAGTTTGTTTAAAAAGGAGTTTATGGTTGTTTAAAAAGTTGTATTTTATCATGTTAAAGAAATGACTGACAACTTCAAACTTCCACTTTGTTATACTAAAATTTAATTGGATACAAAAGTGAGTACTCGAAATTTTTCCAAACATCTAATTAAAGAGCTCGAAATGTTTAAATATTGCTCAAAGTTTGAAATTTGAATCTATAAGGGTTTTGTTCAAGAAAAAATCTATACTCTTATAAAAAAATTAATAGTCAAAACTTGCCAATGTGTGGGTGGCGTTGTGATACACACTTCAAAAAGCTTTGCGATTAAAAAATTTCTAAGTGATCTTTATTTCGAAGAAAATGAAAAATTAAAAAATTTCTAATATAAATTTCATGATATTTAGCGATAAGTTTTGACATTTTGCCGAGAATTAAAAAAAAAAGGTTTTTTATACGTTTGACTTTGAAATTTAAAACTTTTGTAGAAGCGAATTTATGGAAAAATGTAAAATTTTTTTAGAGCCTACAATTTTCTTCAAATATTGACCTAGAAATATAATAAAAAAATGTCAAAATTAAAAAAACGTCAGCTTTCTTAATCTGCGCCTTTGAGGCGTCTGTTTCACTGACCCGAAAAAATTTCACAAGGGATTTTGAAGAAAAAAATTGTCGATTTCTTTTGAACCAGTCTAATGTTTATATACATACTTACTTATAAGTACATAGTATGTATGTATGTACCTACTCATATAAGCGGTTTAGGAAACATTTCGACAAAGGCAGGGTAACAAATGCAGCGAGCTATTATAAATATTTAGAGCGATTTGTTGCTATGAAGAGTTTCTTTTCAGAGTTAGAATTTGGCGTACTAAACGGCGGAAAAATAACAGGAATAGCAAAAGTTCATAAATGCAGAGGTTCTCAAAGCTACCTACGTACATGGGCCGAGCCCACATAGTAAGTGCTATTCTGTGTTTAATAAGGTACACAGCCTCTTAGGCAAAAAAGAGGCATCTTCCCACAAAATATACTTAACTAAAGCTATTAACGGACAAGGATTCGAGCCTGGTGGTCCTACCTCTAACGTATCGCCTGCGGTGGCCACACTTTTTTGCCACTACCTATGTAGGTACTAACCAACTTCGGATGTAATTAAGTCTACGCTCAAACTCGAATATTCTCGGCAATGCAGATTAGAAGTGCGCTTTATTAAACGAACGTGGCCTAGGCTCTTTATCTCCGAGTGCAAGCCTGTCAACAAACAGGTTCACATGGAAAAAGCACAGACGAGCCCAGCCCTAAAGGGCGTAGTTTTTTCTATTTTGTAGCGCACTTTGATAAGAATACTACCGTTGTCGCCGCTTATCTGAGTGCCATAGAAGGTTATTGCTATATAAACAATAACAAAAATATGAACAACTACAAATATTAAACGCGCAGCGAGACAAGTCACGTATGCGAAACGGGCGAAACTAATGCGATTAGCGGCTTTGCAATTTAGTTTTAAGGACTATTTTTAGCTTCAGGTGAACTCAACTTCTTTTGTGTCGTCGTAGTTACCTACGAATAGCCATGGCTTAATGTATATAGCCCTCCAAAACGAACACATATCAGGGCAGCTCATTCGCTATTCGTTATGGTATATAATTCAAGTATTTTGTATTTCGGCGAGAGAAGGTCAAATAAAAAGCGTAGCGTAGAGAACTCGCCATGTACCTTCTGGTTGGGCCACTCTTACGTTGAACTAATGAATTTCAAACCACCTNAGCTCATTCGCTATTCGTTATGGTATATAATTCAAGTATTTTGTATTTCGCGGCGAGAGAAGGTCAAATAAAAAGCGTAGCGTAGAGAACTCGCCATGTACCTTCTGGTTGGGCCACTCTTACGTTGAACTAAAGAATTTCAAACCACCACGTTCAAGCAGTTTATTTCCCTTATATTTATATGGCTTTTTAAGATTTTTCTACAACACCCACCTCAAACTTCTCTGGCGTTTCGTACAAGCCACATTCCGCTAAATTCTTGGCTAAGAGCACCGGATTCAATACATATTTGCTACGCCTAAGGCGACCGCGCACGTACGGCAGGAAAAACAACGCGCAGCTGCGTTGCTCAGAAGGCATACAGCTAACGGATTAACAAAATACACAACAACAACACAACTACACGGCGTACGCGCTAATGAACATTTTCGCACAAGCAAAACTCATTAACTTTTATTGGCTGCAAATTGACTTGGATTTGGATTTGGATTTTCAAAATTTCCACAAATTCGCTTAATCCGCTAGTATCCGTTGGCCAAGTGTGCCGCTAAACGCTCGAGAAACGTTACTAACCAGCAGACGCGCGCGGATAAAACTTTAAACAAGCAGACCAACCAACCAGCCAACCAAACGTTCGTCTCGCAGCCAACCGCCTCAGGTACGTACATACATATGCTCCGCGCTGGCTAGCTGTGCTTGTTTCATTTAAAAATATATTAAAAACGGGCAACGAGCAACAACAACAACCAGATAAAGCTACAGAAAAAATGAAAATAATTAATTATGATAATTGTTGTGAATATTACGGCATTCATTGCTGCGCGCACCGTCCGCTCGGTATCTCCTTCTGCCTGCCTACCGTCCGCCGATAGCCGCCTGGCGAACTACTCGTTGCTGCTGCAGCCGCCTGGATATTTAACTACAACATTCTTCATTGCCTTATTACGGTTGCATTACACTTGACGAACTGGACTGATTGACTGACGGTTAGACGTTGCGAGCTGTTGCTGTTGTTTCTGTTGCCTCAGGGCGTTGTAATGACGTCGTTGACGTTTTAGCAGCAAAACAAAAAGTGATTAATAAGCTGTTGACTTTCATTTGGTTTAGAGAGTGTCTGTGCAAGCTAACTGCACGCTCTAATGCGAATAATTCATAATGCAGTTGGAAAATCCAGTGCGGCATACTGACAGATATGTACATGCAAACGTACTCACACCCACATGTTAGCCACTAATAACAGTCTGAATTACAAAACACAGACTGAGACGCTAGAGCTTGAGCTTTTGAAGCAAAGAAACGAGTTGCTGCACGTTTTTTTTATATTTAAGCAGATAGTCTAAGCGCTGAACCCCAGAATCGCGCGCAATCTTCTTCAAATTTCATTTACTGTTTCGAAATGACGGAAGAAACTCGTCAGGTATCTAAGATTTATATTTTAACAAAACTTCTACACGAGAAATTTTCAGCACTCAGAGTTCTTAATGTTACCTTTCCGCTTTCAATACCACATATGTATGTACATGAGTTACTATGTTCTTCGCGACTTTTACCAAGCTCACTCTGATCTTGGAATATAGGGTGTTAAAATTATACAGCATGTGTCTATACCAACTGGATGGTTTAAAATCGCTTTAGTTCAGTGGAGCCTCGCGGATACCTCGTCCCTTACGAGTGTCCAAGAAAAATCTAGTAGACGCCAAAGACGTCAGCACTGGTAAGAGTACCGCCGCTTGACGCGGGAAAAGGGTAATTTCGGCCAGCTCGGAAGTCGCGCAGTCGATCTTTTCCTTCCATTCGCTCGCCCGTAAATGAAATAAAAAGTTCAAACTAGCGCAGGAAATCTAATTGAAGCCGAAAAGACTAACCAAGTCGGTAGGTCATCAAATCCGACAGATGAGATCTTAACTGAATGCTCTAAAGAACCGCCTGCATCACACTCACTTTGTGGAGATGAATTCGAAGAAAAGACTTTCCCAGTAGAAGTCGGAAAGTCTTACTCCCAACTTGCAGGTTTAACTGCGGGCAGTCCGTGTCTGCAAGACTGGCTTGATGGCACTCAGTCTACGGGCTCCAAAAGTCAGCTCGAAGCCGTTTAGAGAATTTACTGATCATCAGAGCCAGCGTGAGCGCACGCTTGCCGTGTTGAACTTAAATCTAAAACCTACAATTGACAATTGAAGCACATTCTGATCTTTGAAATTTGTGGTTTAAGTGAAAATTTTTCGTCCAAGTTTCTTAGACGCAGCACCCTGTTTCACATGCTCACAGTCACGCTCTCACACTTCACACAGCGTTTATTGCGCTTCACCTTCAGTCAAACGTGGGCATCTCACATGATGTTGTCTCGTGAAACCTGCATCCGTTCATCATTTGTCCATTTCAGCGCAACTCCAAAGGTAAACACGAGTGTACGATTGTACGTCAATTGTCGTGTCCAAACAATGTCTAATGTATCGACGTCACACCGTCGTATGAGTACCACGCGATTTACCGTTTTTGGCTTAATCCGCATAATAAATCATTACTCTCCAACAACAAAGTGCATAAATATTTGCCAATGCAAGAGCATATGTTTGTGTGTTGTAATATTTAATTTCGCAATTGTTTTCTTTGCTGCTACACTTCTACTCATTTCATTGTGTAAAGAAATTGTACACCTACCTACAGCATTGCAAAAACAAAAAAAAAAAAAACAACGCTTAACTAGTGCGACACGGCCAATGTGAAAGGTGCATTGTGTGTTGGTGCTGTGTTAGTGCAGCGTTGCACGTTTAATTGTTTATTGTGTTCGAATGTACATAAGTAGTTGTTGCTGTGCGCGTGTGATGTTACCTTTGAGTTGAGGCGTCATAACATATTGTTGTCTGCTCATCACACAATTGTCATGTTGAATCAGCAATGAGCCAGCGGGCAACAAACGTCATAATAAGCGAATAAAAAAATATGCCAAGAAAGTTTATGCAAATATGGTTGGCAAAAAGAGTGATCGCGTTAACGGCAGTGGCGTACGGCGTAGTGGCAGCAGGAGGAGCTACTTCGTTAGACAGCACTATAAACCTGCTAGGCGAGAGCTTTCTCTGAGATGGAAGGGGTACTTTGTGCTTTCCAATTTGTTTTCTTTCTCTCGAAATTTCTATCCTTGGGCACCTAATCCGGTTTTCTTATTTGCAAAAAGTGTTAATGGTAATGTCAAAAAACACAGGTGGGTACGACAGTAAGCATCAGATGCGAGTTTTAAGTCTTGCCATGTGAATTCACGTGATGTAATTTTTTTTTGTTGTAGCGGCTACTCAGAGCCTAGACTGGCTTGTCCCTGGATTAGTCCATAGAGACAGCGGTAACACCGTGTGGGGCATGCGAAGAGGTGTCGCTAGTCGTGAGGTGACTCTCCACAAGGCGGGCACTCACTGGGCAAAACTGTATCTATCCCCTCCCAATCCACCCTGGACCATATCAAACGTATGCCCTAGTTCCCTTTCAACTCATTTGAGCTGACATGCGGCCCAACGTTCCAAGAGCTAACCGCAGGTGGTTAGGGCACTCCGATCCGTTCTGTTTCTGGTGAATTGCGAAAATACTTATATACAGCGCCGAATGGAGTTTTCCCTAACCATTCGGAGCCTATTAAGGCGCAGTCTTAAGAACTCAACCCCGCAACTAAACGCCACGAGTTCTTTGCCTACAGATGACTATAGGCAACATCCCATTCCGCAAAACAAAATACTTTACTTTCCTCTACGCCAGCGGTTTATTAACATTTTTTTTGCTTGGTGGTAATGACGTCATTAAAATTACTTATTCAGCTGCCTTTCACATTTTACGCCTTTTCCTATGCTAACTAGCTGATCAACGTTAAGCGACAATCCGACGCACCTACATACGTACATACATACATACATACATACATATGTACGTACATATTTATGGTACATACAGACAGCTACATATATTTTACATTCCAAACTATACTTCGGTAAAGAATTTCAGATTACACGCCCACTGATCTTTAATTCATATGTCGTCCGACACAGCCTATATAACTAAGTGAGTAGTTGACGGACGTGCTGAGAAAACGCCACGCGCACTACCGCAGCGGACATTCGGGCATACATACGTTACTGGAGCAAATTTGGTGAATTTTTGATTCAACAAAGACACGTGGCGGAATTTCGATAGTAAGTGTGATGTAAAGAATTTTAATAAGACATCGGATAATTAGAATGCAGGAGCCATATTTTGGCAATAATTTCCTCAAATTCCTAAAGAAATTAGAAAGTATTAGAAAGAGATAATTTTTCGCGAGCTCCTATTTTATTTCCTTTTTAAAGAATTCTTTCATTTTAATTTATCGGCGGTTGGTAGATATGCAAAGCATGCCTGTAAACTTGTTTAACTCTTCACCGAATGCCATCAAACATATTCAAGGTGCGTAAAATTGATGCAAGAAAAAATTAATTGGTAAATAGAAAAGAACCGAAATGGAATCAATTATGCAACAGCCAACTCTGAACTGAACTGCTCGGTGATGAAAAATGAGCGATATAGTCAGCCTCGCTAATATCGTGAGCACACAATTGGCAGCAATTAGCTAACTGAAAAACACTTAAAAGTGGGAAAAATAGTATTTTACAATGCACTGAATTCAAAAAATGAAGGTTTAAGCTCGCGTTATTAGCATGATCCCAATGCAGTCAGCCAAATCACTATTGGCTCCCTCCTCCCCGCACTCACCTTTTTCAATTGCATCTGGCCGCGACCTCCTGACACTGTCGGCACATCGGAGTCCCATTCGGAGCTCAAGTCATCGCTGGACGCGTAGCCGTAGTCACGCGGCAGTGGTACCTCGAGAAACGACTTGGAATATTGCGTATAGCCGGGACATAAGTTTTGCTGCGGTGACGGCGACCGACGCTGCAACTGCCACTGACGACGCTGCGCACAAACGCCGGCCTCATCGGTGACTGGCGAACGCGGTGGTATCATTATAGTGGGCGGCGCGCCGACGGACAGACCATGCGCTTGGGCAAAGGCGAGACTGCATTTGCGCGAGTTCGACAGATTGACGTTGGACTTCTTGCGGAAGATCTTTTTGGAGGGCATGGAGTGCGAGAGCGGCTGCTGATGATGCTGGTGGTGATGATGATGATGATGATGGCTGCGCGAGGAAATCGGTATTGCCGGTGAATGTGGACGCGACTGCTCATCAGCCTCGCGTTCGACGCTTTCGTCATATGGCGTGGTTAGCCCCTCGTATTCTCTTTCGACATCATCGTCCTCGTCCTCCTCCTCCTCCTCTGCAGCTTCAATGCCGGTTTCTTGAATGATATTTCTGTGTGGCGCCAGACCATTTACCAAAGATAGATCAGCTTTGTGAACACAGCACTCTTTGCAATTACTATGATCCAGCTCGACTGCCTCTTCGCCGCCCTCGTCTGCTTCGGCGCCGTCGTCTTCGAATTTAATGTTGTCCACCTCCTCGGGTGGCACGTCGGGGAAGTGCAGCAACTTGACGGTGACCTTGTTGCCGGCCTCGTTGTAGTAGACTTCTTTGGCGCTCATTTTGTCGAAATCCTCGTAAATGCGTACTTGCGGATAGGCGCACAAAGACATTGTCACACTCACATACACGCACGCGCGTCGAAACTGTTCACTTTCGCTCCACTTTGAGCTGTAGTTCAAAGAAATTATTTCCAACTTTTTAAAGTCGTTACTTCGTAGTTTTGAAAAAATTGTTTGCGAATATTTAGTGTTTCAACAGCGCGATATCACTCCATTGTACGTTCTCCATTTAACTACACTTTACTAATGCGTTGCTCTGTTGAAGCGATAATGAATGAGGACTGCACTAAATGGTTGATTTTTGATTTTTGAGTTTTAATCGCTTTTGTTTATTGGGTGAATAGTATATTACATTTTGAAAATTTCCTCTGTAGTTGCAAATAATAAGCCACTTATAATTTTTTCCCATTTAATAACTTTTGATTTACAGCCTTCGGTTTTTTTCCGGTTTGATTAAATGACCAGAAATTAGAATATTTGTCGATTTCAAAATTATTCAAAAATTAGCCGCTTAAAATAAATCATCCATCGTTTTTATGAAAAACTGCAAGTCTCCAATCACTTTCCCCTCACAAGACACGCATAATATCTCTTGCACTTTGTCCAGCAGCGCCAATTAGCCGCGCACATCCAAGCCATCAAAATTAACAACTTCATAACAGACTATTAGCTATTCGAATGTGCAGCATGCAACAACGTCAAGGCAAAGTAACGGCGGCGAATAGCAAATTGCAACATCACAAAATATTAAATTAGCAAATTCCAAAGAATGCTAGAAGATTTGACATTTCTCGGCTGCCAGCCAACAGCCGCCCAGCGGCAGCACTTATATTTTATCACCCGAGGTGCGGCGACGACATTTCTAAGACGACAAGCAATGGGGCAAACAGCGTGGTAGCCAAGCAGCCACTGACCGCAACTCGTCTTGCCAAAAATCAATGCAAGCAAAGGAAGAGGAAAAAATTGAAAACTCACAAAAATTTCAATACAAACGGTTTGCATTGCATTGAAAATGCGTGGACGCACCAAAAACGGACAGGCATTGCATTGACTGCAAAACTTTGCTGACATTTCGTCAAAAAATCGCCAAAGCAAATGGACGCGAAGGGGCCAACGCAAAGATGAGAAGCAGGCAATTGAATTTATGAAGCCAAGGTTTTTATGTATTGCAAAAAATTTTGTTTATTATGAGACTGATTTTGAAAAGGTGATATTATTAACAGATGTGAATAACTACCGCCTACAAGCGTCGCGTTATCAAAACTAGTCAGCGCTAGAACGAAAGCTACACAAAAATGTTTAAAGTTTATTTTACAGCAGCGACAGGCAGAGAAAGCTTTTAGTCTGAGCACAACCGAACAAAACCAGAGGGAAATTTGAAAAAGCTGGTCTCCTGGTCGTGACTGTTTTAGAACACCTATGCTCAGCCCTTGAGCTCGCGAGCGAAAACAGCTTTTGTGCTTTCACATGTAAATATATGGAGCTTATGTGCTCTTACACATACACGGCACAATCGCACTATACACAATCTCACAAATAGCATACATTGACATTGGGCATAGCTCTTTAGAAAGAGCTTGGCTTATTTGACTGATAAGAGTCTAATGTGCTTTAAAGCCAAGCTTAACAGTTTTTTTTCGGGTGATGGCAGCGCGAAAACAGTTCACCGAATAAAACCTTATTCATTGCAAAGGAACTAAGAAGTGACTTTTTGTCGTACGACAAAAGCTTTTCAACGATTTCAGCATGTTTTATATGGGCGTGCTTAAGTAAAAGCTCTCTCTGGTGCTCGCTGCTCCGGCGGCGTTTTCTTTCAAAGGCTAACTTAATACGTAGGTGCGGTATTTTTTTTAACATTTCAAAGGCATTACCGTAGCTTTTATAGCTTTTATGCCCAAAAGTGTTAGATTCTAATTACTTTATTGTGATATTAACGAAATTTATAAAGTGCCAATTAAAAAAAAAAAAAAAACAATCAACAGCAATAAAACAATTAAAAAAATATTGTGCGCGCTTTTGCGTCACTCGCATGCCGTGGCGCACACAGTACGAGTTACTGAAATTGAGCCAATTTAAAAAAGTTGACAAAAAAATTTATATGTATAATTATTTGAAATTAAAAGGCAAACAAAAAACAAAAAAGGAAAAGAAATTAACCTACAGACACAACAAAAACTAAGACGTGTTGTCATTTAATTTACAATGCAAATGAAATGGTTTTGGATGGCGCAGAAAAACAAATATACATACATACATAAACACATATGTATGTTCGTCAACAAGTTTCTGTTTCTGGCGTTTAATGCGTTCCAAGGAAAAAACGGCTGAAAAGGTCGTACGCAAAACCTAGCGGAAAAGTAGCATTAACTACAGCAACAAAAGTTTAACTACAACAACTCGCAACAGTTAAGAATAAGAATAATGAAATTTATCATAACAACAATGCTACCGCAGATTGTGTACTTCACAGACTGAGGGTAACTCATACGACAGGGTGTACACATTGGCGTTGGCGTTAGAGTAGGTACTTTGGACCTCAAGGGAAGTAAAAAAATATATATATACATATATATATCTTTCAGCACAACTAAGCAGCGTTAGGACAAATTTTAGTTTTAATTTTTCATAGCAACTGATCATAACTATAGTGCTGATCATAATTATACGACACCTATGTACATACATATTGACAAGTTCGGACATTTAATTTTTTTGTTATTCACTTTTAATTCTTTTTTATAAAAGTATAGTTTATTGTTTGTGCAATATTAAAAAAAAGTTAACTTTCGAACATATTCCGAACTTTCTAATTGGATTTCTTAGGAAGATTTTGAGTATGCAGTTTTATCTTTCTAAATAATAGAATTAAAAAGCTCGAAATTTTTGCAAAAATTTGTTGATTTTTTTTTTAATATTGCGCAAAGTTTTAACCTCGGATTTATACGGTATTTGTTAAAGACATACATTCGAATGAAAGAAAAATAAAAATTAAATAATAAAAAAATTTAGCCAAACTTGTCAATTGGGAGTGGCTGATAATCGTGATAAGCGCTATGTAAGCAAACTGTGTATTTACCAATTTATACATTTTTTCATAGCTAAGATGGTAAATATTTTTAGGCATATTTTTCTTGCGTAAAAATCCCAGCACTACTTATAACTTTATTAGTAGCACTAATAAAAACAAAAACGAATAACGCTTTGAAATACAAATAAAGAGCGATTTGAGCTAGCCCTGTATATTTACCCTACATATACAGAAGAATAATTGTTTTTTTTTATATTCTATTTTTACAAGTAATTAAAGCTTATACGCATTGCATCGCTCGAATGCCGTTGTTAATTGCAAAATATAAACAAAAGCAAAAATTCAATTCAATTCCAACAGTTGCGGTATCAGTCAAAGTACATAGACACATTACACTCATATACACAGTGGCGGATCGTGAGCTCGATTTTGGGGGCGAAAATAAGAATCAAAAATGTTGTACGCCCAAGTATGATAGACATTTTGTTTTATTTTATTATATATTGTTTATAAATGAATTATATTTTTATAAATCATATGTTTTTGAGGAAAAAACACCGTAGTATTTTGAAAATTTCAAAATTACATTTCGAGCTAACTAGACTACACTCTTTGCGTGCTCTTTTTACACTTCATGCAGATTAAACGTAGCGCTTTCGATAGAAGCAACATTTTTATATGAAACAAAATGAGTTTGAAAGCTTATGTAATTGCCTTTTACTGAAAAATATTGCCATTGAGCAACATTTACTCCTTGACCTTAAAAAATTGTCAACGGATATTTTCAAAAAAAAAAACATTTTTTGTACTTATTATAAATATTTCCCCCCGCACCCCTCTCTCCACCGTTGATCCGTCCCTGCACATACACCAGGTAATCACCAAAGGCAAGCGGTTACAGCGGCACATGTTGCCACCAATGGTCGCTGTATTTTTGTAATTGTCACGCCCATTGCTCTCACTATTAAAGTGTGACAATTTAACAATTTAGAAGAAATTTACACAGTATCTCCTTGTAGATATGTATGTTTGCGTTTAATTGCTGTCGATTTTTTTTTTTTTAATTTTCGCCATCCAACTGACGTAAATCAACGCTTTAACAGCGAAAAAAATAAACATATGCGCGACAACAACAACAGCAGAAAAAGTGAGCAACGAGCAAAAATGTTAATGTGTAAAATTGTAATTGTTGTAGCTACATACATATGCATATATATACATACATAGATAGCGTTAAGATTAACAAGCGATCGGATCATTTTAATTGAACTCATCCGGAGAGGTCGGTTTTCTGAGTATTTAATTTGCATTTGCGGTTGAATATGCATGCGAGCATACTTATATACACATATACATGCATATATATGTATATGTATATGTGTATATGTATGTAAATACATCCATGCAAATGTGAATGAGCCAGTATTCCATTTATCAGCAAATTTCGAAAATCAGTATGCATCAGAAGTAGGTCTACACACCTAAAGCCACTACGTCAATTCACACTCGAGTGAATTTACTCTGAAGAGTAAAGCAAAAACGAAGGCAGAGTGCAATGAGGTTGGAATTTGTTTTCCTATTGCACAAGAATGTGAATTTTTTAACGATAATGGGAGCAGCGACCCAGAAAAATTCGCTAAAATACCTGAGGGGAGTTCACAATGGGGAGAGTTCTGGCCGCAGCCGAGTACTTAAAGTTGCGTACTGCATGCATGATACATACATCCATTGTCAGAACCAAAATTCTAAATTTGTGGAAAAGCAAGTTACACTCTAACCGCGTACTCGATACCCACCTAAGTACCTGCGGGGAGGATTCGAGTACAAAAAGTACTCAGTACTTGAAGAAAGTATCGAGTTAAATACTCGTAGTTACTCGTATCGCAACACACTAACAAATCCAACTAAGAATTCTATAAAGCAATTAAAAATACTAAGAGCGGAAAAAAATCTATATTTTCCTGCTTATCACCGGTACAAGGGGTGCGCCTACATTTGCGCCGCCATACAAAAAATTTCCATTGCCGCATTCGCAGTAATAATCAAAAATAGCTACACATATTTACACTTTATTGCCCTCTACAAGCCTTAAAAAAAAAACAAAACAATACTTTTTATCGAAATAAATCATTTTAGCAGAACAAAGTGTATTTTCATGTTGCGAATAGCAGTAAAAACGATGGGCATACTCAGATAAATGCGCAGCGCGTAGAAAAAAAAAACAACAATAACACAATCAAGAACAAAAATATAAACAT